TGCATGATTATCCTTTGAATGGTATTCTTCAATTTTCTTAGACTGCAATTTTATTTCCTTTTGTAATACAAGCGACAATGACGAATTGACTTCCGATGAATCGGCTTCTGATACCGATGCATCTGAGGACAATATAAATGAGAAGGATCCCCCAAAAATTGGCAAGACGGCTTTTCGTAAGGCCTATAATGCTATCCCAAACTCTACAAAGTTGCAGTTGAGCACAGGCAGAATAGTGGAAGACATTCTTTTTGAATTTGTTAAAGACATGGACTATGAACAGTAAGTTTCTCAAAATTTATATTCTTTTTATCCTGCCATTCACAATACTGACGATGATTTGATTAGCCATGCCCATTCATATATTGTTGACTTTGATGATAAGGATGTCAAAGCGTTGTTTACTGATGAAGAGTGGAACGAACTAACCAAAGATCGAATTGGGGTTCCATCTTTTCCACGTGATATCGCAGAAGAGTTAGCAAAATATGGAAGCAAAACGTTAAAAGAGCTACGTGCAAAAGTGATGAAATCATATCTTAAGGAAGAAGAATATGATGTCCACAAGCATTATAATCAAGAATGGATCCAAATGACCATGCGAACACTTTGCAATCTGTTTGAGAATATAGATACTCCCTTAGTAAAGACCCAATATGAAGATTGGTTCACGGTTGCACTTTTTGGAACATGTATCGATTTCTGCATTAGGGATGCACAATTGGGCACTGACGTTAAGAGGTTTTATCCATTTCCGTTAATGTAACAATGAATTACCATCATTTCACAATTTCACTTATTTTATCACTTTTATAGAACCGACGCACCATCATTGAGTAGTGCCAACAGAAAGAATCGGCATCGGAAAGCAAACACAAGAAAGCTCATTGGTCGCAAAATCGATGGGATAATATACATAACTAATAGACTTCTTGAACTCGGGGCTATCGAAGGTGCAAGGGCTTTTGCGGGAATTTCCGATAACAAATATCTTCTCGAGTCATTCGAGATGCCCAAAACACTTCGAGACATGTATAGTGATTTGATTAAGGCTGTAAATTATGATGATCAAAAACCAGATAAACTTCAAGTATTTGGCATCTTACACTTTGGATTGTATATTCAATTCGCAAGATTATGTCGCGCCGGTGGATCGATCTGCATTTTTCGCAAAGATCCCCAATCTTTCTATATAGAAAGCAAGTTCTCGAAAAATGGATTAAGTTCCTTCATTTTTTTTCTGAAAAAGATATACCAATATAAGGTATGATAAATCTTATATTGTAGTTATTGTTTTATTTCTCTTCCGTGTTCTAATTATTTTCACAGATTATGATTAAGAACAACCTACAAATTCTGAATATTCTGAACGACGATGATGATACTGAATCTGATGACTTATTAAAAGAATTGCTTGAGGATGAACAATACTCTACTCCACCACCCGCGCCAATTAAATTTTTTGTTGAATGTGAGAACACTCCGAAGAAAAAAAAGAATAAAAGGTGTAATTCGAAGGAAAAGAATACAAGGCGAAAAAAAATAAAGTCGTGATTTAACTCTTGTGACAAAACAATCTAAATGTAATATAATATTTTTTTTATTTTTTTAATAAAGTATTTACTTTTGTCATGCATTGCGCAAAGTATAAAATTTTAGGAACATAATTTT